GCGCCCAGGTTCATGCCGCATGGCAGTACTCCGTTCAGTGTTCGGAACCAGTGCTGTGATGCCCTCCAGCCGTCCCAGTCCCAACAGGAAGCTCTCAGGCATTCTCTTTCCGTCTCATGTTTGTTACTGGAAAGGGCTTCCCACCCAGACCCCAGGAGAGGACTCTTGGGTCTCGTGCAAGAAAGAATTTGAGGCGAGTCCATAAAGTGAAAGCAGGTTTGTTAGGGAGGTAAAGGAATAAGAGAATGGCTCCTTCGTAGGCAGAGAACCCCAAAGGCTGCTGGTCGCCCATTTTTATGGTGATTTCTTGATGGTATGCTAAACAAGGGGTGGAATATTCATGCTCCCCTTTTTAGACCGTATAGGGTAACTTCCTGATGTTGCCACAGCATCTGTAAACTGTCATGGCGCTGGTGTGAGTGCAGCAGTGAGGACGACCAGAGGTCACTCTCGTGGCCATCTTGGTTTTGGTGGGTTTTAGCCGCTTGGTTTGGTGGGTTTTAGCAGCGTCTTTACTGCCAGCTGCTTTATCAGCAAGGTCTTTAGGACCTGTATCTTGTGCCGACCTCCTGTCTCATCCTGTGATTAAGAATGCCTGGGCCGGGCGCGGTGGCTCAAGCCTGTAATCCCAGCACTTTGGGAGGCCGAGACGGGCGGATCACAAGGTCAGGAGATCGAGACCATCCTGGCTAACACGGTGAAACCCCGTCTCTACTAAAAAATACAAAAAACTAGCCGGGCGAAGTGGCGGGCGCCTGTGGTCCCAGCTACTCGGGAGGCTGAGGCAGGAGAATGGCGTAAACCCGGGAGGCGGAGCTTGCAGTGAGCTGAGATCCAGCCACAGCACTCCAGCCTGGGCGACAGAGCCAGACTCAGTCTCAAAAAAAAAAAAAAAAAAAAAATGCCTGACCGTCTGGGAACGCAGCCCAGTGGGCCTCAGCCTCATCTTACCCAGCGCCTGTTCACGATGGAGTTGCTCTTGCTTCAATGTCTTGGACCCGTTGGCTGTCAGATCCTCTTACACCAGGCTCTCTCATGTGCTCCTGTGGGCATGAAAACACGATCTGATGAGAAATCGGATCTTTCTTGCCCATTAGGAGACAGTCTCCTGGTGCACATTCCCCAAGTGGTAAAATAGCTTTTTAATCCAGGAGCAGTTGGACTGATGGAGACTGAGAGCTGGTCTGTTCGCACGGGGCTCCCCGTGGGGGGTGCCAGAAGCGATCTGTCTGTGAGTTGAGGGCAGCCGCGCCCATGCAGTGGAAGGTTCTGAGGATCAGCTGTTCCCTGCAGGCAGCTGAGGGTACCAAGAGCTCAGTGCGTGCCAGGGTGGGCCTCTGGTGAGCCCCCCAGGCCTGGAAACATTTGTTCAGCATTAAATGCCTCATTTTCAAGCCTTATCTTTGGTACCGCTATCTAGAAACACATCTCAGGAAGTCACAGTGTGTGAGTCTGCACTGCCGACTGTCAGCTGTTCTCTCAGCATCTTGCGTGGCCATGGGTGTGCATCCTAATTGCGTTCTTGCCCTTTTGTTCTTGTTCTCAGAGCCCCTCCTCTCCCGCAGCCACCTGCCCTCTTGGATTTCTGTCGGACTCAGCAGTGCAGGGGCCTGGCTCCTTTGGAAAGGGGAGTGCCCTCCCCTCCCGGGTCCCTCGGGATAGGGCCGGCTCTTCCGGGAGGACTGCCAGGCACCTCTCTCTTCTTTATTCGCTGATTTAAAAAACTATTAATGAAACTCTCCTGACACAGGAATCTCTCAGAAGTGTGGAAAATGTTCTTTTCCACCTGACAGATCAGGAGTCTCCTTGTCCACGAGGTGTCTCCCGTGCCCTCTGACTTCTCCAGACTGAACTTAGAGATCTTATTTCCCACTGTCTGAGCCACCCCAGGTCAGCTTCAGCCAACGTTTTCCTTACCCAGCTCCTCCCCGCCACCTGCTCCAATTCCCCAGCTCATGTGAGCTGACAGCTAATGGTAGATGGCTGCTAAATTTATTTCAAATTGTCCTGGATACAAATGACAGCACCTTAATTCCCAGACTTGGAGTTGAAGGAAGTATTTTCAACTTCAGCATCAGAAAATGCTGAATAAGTATTTACTAATAAGTAGATACTTATTAATAAAATAAGTAGATACTTATACCTGCATCTTTCGGTATAAGACAAATCATATACGTTAAAATTTTTTATTTTGTTGTTAAAATTAGAGATATAATGTACGTAACATAAAATTCACCATTTTATCACCATTTAAAAGTACACAATTTGGTGGTTTTTAGTGTATTTACAGAGTTGTGCAGCCATCACCACTGTCTCATTAGGGAGCCTTTCATCACGCCCAAAGAAACCCCTTTGAACCAGTTTCCTTCTTTTTCCCCGAGTTCCGTCTTCCCCCAGCCCCGACAGCTGCTCATCTGCTGTCTGTGCACTCGCCTGTGCCGGACACTTCGTAGGAACAGACTCGTTAGCGTGTGGTTCCTGCGTCTGGCTTCTGTCACTTGGTGTCCTGTTTCAGGGTCCATCCGTGGTGCTGCATGAATCTGCCCTTTCTTCCTTTTTGTGGCTGAGTAATATTCCACCGTGCACCAGGCCACGCTCTGTTTGGAAATCTGCCCTCACCTGCAACCCGCACATCTCAGCTGCCTTGCCTCGTGCCTCTCACCCTGCTGTCCCTCTGCCACCCTCGGGACCCCCTCCGCCGGCCTGCGAGTGGTAAATGCACGAATCGAGGGTGTTTGGGGTGTGCGATCAAGCTCGCCAGTGCCTTTTTTTTTTTTTTGAGACCAGGTCCCACTCTGTCACTCAGGCTGGAGTGCAGTGGCACAGCCATGGCTCACTGCAGCCTTGAACTCTTGGGCTCAAGGGATCCTCCTGCTTCAGCTTCCCAAGTAGCTGGGATCACAGGTGCGCACCACCACGCCCTGCTCATTTTTTATGTTTTTGTAAAGATGGAATCTCACTATGTTCAAGACCTCCTAGACTCAAGTGATTCTCCCACCTCATCCTCCCAAGGTGCTGGGATGACAGGTGTGAGCCACTGCACCTGGCCATGTTGTAGATTTTGATGAAGTCCAGTTTATCTTTTATTTTTCTTTTGTTGCCTGTGCTTTTGGTGTTACAGGTAAAAATTCATTGACACATCCAATGTCTTGAAGTGTTTCTTCATGTTTTCTTCTGAGAGTTTTAGTTTCAGGTCTTATTTTTAGGTTTTTGATCCGTTTTGAGTTAAATTTCGTATATGGTATAAGGTAAGTGTCCAGGTTCATTCTTTTCTCAGAAACTGTTTAGTGAGGATTTTCTGTTAGTCATTTGCCAATTGACTCCTTTCTAGGGAAGCTAAAATAGAAAGGTCTCCCACAGATGGACCTTGGACGTGGTTTTCCCAAGTCCCTTAAACCCTCACCTGGTGTCCTGTGTCCACAGCCCTCCCGTCCACCACCTGCCCATCCATGACCCCACCTGTCCACAGCCGCCCTGCCTGCCTGTCCATGGCCTGCCCATCCGCCACCCACCCGTCCACAGCCCACCTGTCCACCGCCTGCCCATTCATGGTCTCCCTGCCTTTCCGTCCACCACCCACCTATCCACCACCCACCCGTCCGTGGTGCCCCCACCCACCACCCGCCCATCCACGGCCCCCCGTCCACGGCATCCTGCTCAGCCCCCTCACTGCAGCTGGGTTTCTTCATGAAATACACATGAGCCCACGCCCTGCCGTGTTCTGGGAGGTGCCGCATACCGTGCCCATCCTTCCTCTGGCCTTGCCTCCTGTGCGGCCCCTTTCCAGCTCGGATGCTGAGCAGCGTCTCACTCGGAGGGAGGGAGTGTGGAGCCGGAAGTGGGGCACAGATCTAGGGTCCGGGGGGACGGGGAGAAGGTGCACAGCCTGGCCACCCCTGCCCTCACTGCACTGCCAGCCCCACAGGCAGCCAGCCCTCGACACCCCTGGCCTCTCTGCCCTCTGATGCCCCCAAGCCCCCCTAACCTCACCACACTCCAACCCCCCCAATCCCTCTAACCTCACTCCTCAACACCCCCAACTCCCTTGACTTCACCACCTCCCATCACCCCACCTGTGCAGCCGGTGCCCTGGCCCTGGTGCTGTAAGGACGGGTCAAGTGCAGGCACATCACACGCCTTGCAGGCTTCTTGGCAGGTTTGTCTCCATTCACCTTTTCCCTGCAGCTGTGTCCCCCGGACAGCACATGTCCACCTGCCTCCTTTAAGTTGCTAATTTCTGTGAGTGCTTATGAGTGTATTTTCTACAGAATACATCATCTAGCAAATGACATCGTGCAGGAGGGATACGGTTCGGATTTACTGAGCCTCACTGCCTGAGGCGTGTTGTAGAACTCAAGGTCAACTCGTTGAATCCCCAGAATGTCCTAGGGGTGGTCCCTGTCTCTTCCCGGTAACACCTGAGGAACAGGAGACCGTAGTTAACCCGAGGGGGGCTGCGCCCCAACCCAGGCCTCAGATTCCAGTGCAGGGCACTCCCTGCACTGTCCCGCTTCTCAGAGATTAAGATTGGTTTGAAGAATTTTAGCTTTTTTTTTTTTTTTTAAGAGACAAGTGTCTCTGTGTTGCCTAAGCTGGCCTCAACTCCTGGGCTCAAGTGCTCCTCCCTCCTCGGCCCCCGAATAGCTGGGACTATAGGTGCCCACTGCACCTGTCCTGACGTCAGCATCTTTTACGTTGAGTTAATATTTGTACCAAGGCTCTTTCAGGGGGGTGTGATCAAGATTACATGGCTCCTCTGACCCTGACCTCTCGCTGGGTTCCCGTCTCCCTGACCTTGACCTCTCACTGGGTCCCCGTCTCTCCTCCCTGACCTTGACCTCTCCCTCGGTTCCCGTCTCTCCTCTGGCCTTGACCTCTCCCTCAGTTCCTGTCTCTCCTCCTCTGACTCTGATCTCTTGCTTGGTTCCTGTCTCTCCTCACTGACGACCCCTCACCTGGACCCTAAGTTGTGCTGAGGCTGCTTCTCCCTCTCGCCCTAGACTTCGACCCCCACCACTTCTGGCAGTGGAGCAGCTTCTCGGACTACGTGCAGTGCGTCCTGGCCTTCACGGGCGTGGCAGGCTGCATCACCTACCTGTCCACTGACTCCACCCTGTTTGTGGAGACCCTGGGCTTCCTGGCCGTGCTGACCGAAGCCATGCTGGGCGTGCCGCAGCTTTACCGCAACCACCGCCACCAGTCCACGGAGGGCATGAGGTAGGCCGGGGATGCCGCCATGGAAGCATCACTGCTCCAGAGGCACCACATGGCTGCAGGTTTGGTAAAAATCAAACGCCTGTGTGAGTGGCTGTGTATTTCCCATGTTGACCTGTGAAGCTGCCGGTTAAAGAATAGTCAGGTTTATAGGCCTTGGCCCCTCGACCTTGTGTTGGAGCAGATGAGCTTGTGTGGGCCACGTGAGGGGCAGCCGAGACCCTCTTGCCAGCACTCTACCCAGCACGGGGTTGGGAGCTGTTCCTTCAGGGCCGTTGAGGCAGAACCTTCCAGTGGGAGGGATGTCCGAGTGCCTGGCCACACGGGGCAGAGCAGGCTTGGCCCACCACGCCAGGAGGAGTGCAGGGCAGCCAGCCTGGCCCAGGGTCAGGGCGGGTCTGGTGGGGCAGGGAAGGTGGTGTGGGGGCTGCCTTGGACACTGTCCTCAGTCTCTCCCCACTGGGCCCAGCATGGCCTCTGGCCTCTGAGGTACGTGGTAGAAGGCTGGGCAGGCTGATGTTCGGAACCATAGACCACGCCTGGGCGCCCTGCACCAGTGCGTGCTGGGACACCCCCGTGACCGCCAGGGATAGGGCACGATGTAAGCAGCACGATTCCCACGGGCTCAGTCAAGGTCCTGGATGGAAACCACATTGTAATAAAAACAGATCCGCTTGCTGCGGCAGAAAACTCTCGTCCCTCACACCTTCAATCCCCAGGCCCGCTCCTCACCGAGCACCCCCCGGTGCCCGCTCCTCACTGAGGACCTCACACCTTCAATCCCCAGGCCCGCTCCTCACTGAGCACCCCCCGGTGCCCGCTCCTCACTGAGGACCCCCCCCGGTGCCCGCTCCTCACTGAGGACCCCCCGGTGCCCGCTCCTCACTGAGGACCTCACACCTTCAATCCCCAGGCCCGCTCCTCACTGAGGACCCCCCCCGGTGCCCGCTCCTCACTGAGGACCCCCCGGTGCCCGTTCCTCACTGAGGACCTCACACCTTCAATCCCCAGGCCCGCTCCTCACTGAGGACCCCCCCGGTGCCCGCTCCTCACTGAGGACCCCCCGGTGCCCGCTCCTCACTGAGGACCCTCCCCGGTGCCCGCTCCTCACTGAGGACCCCCCCCGGTGCCCGCTCCTCACTGAGGACACCCCTGGGCCCCCACACTGTGCTTGGGTCTGGTCTCCGTCACAGATGCTGAGGCTGTGATTTGGAGGGAATGTTATTCTTGGATTTGTTATTTTTGGGAAACAGCCTGGAAGAGAGGGGCTGACGTGTTTTTGTGTTTGAGAATGGGTGCCCAGGGACCACAGCACCCCCTCTAGGGCTTTCCTGTGAGTATTTGCAGGTTTGGTGTGAGGGCTGGGGTTCTGTGGGGTGTAGGTTCAGTTGCCAGTTATAGGTGAAGGTAGGAGGGCTTGTTGCAGGTGTGGGGTGGTGGTAGGGGTGAGATGTAGGTACAGGTCAGGGTTACAGGTGTGGGTTGCAGTTACGGGTGTGGGTTGTAGGCACAGGTGTGGGGTGTAGGTATGGGTTGGGGTGTGGGGTATGGGGTGCAGGTGTGGGTTCTAGGCATGGGTGTGGATTACAGTTATGGGTGTGCAGTGTAAGTATGGGTGTGGGACGTAGGTACAGATATGAAGTGTAGATATGGTTGGGGTGTGGGGTATGGGGTGCAGGTGTGGGCTGTAGGCATGGGTGTGGCAGGTAGGTACAGGTGTGTGCTGTAGGTACTCGTGTGGAACATGGGTATGGGTGTGGGGTGTATTAGGTGTGGGTTGCATTTATGAGTGTGGGTTGTAGGTAGAGGTGTGATTTGGAGGGAATGTTATTTGGGTATGGACGTGAGGTGTAGATACGGGTTGGGTGTGGGGTGCAGGTGGGGGTTGTAGGTGTGGGAGGTAGGTGCAGGTATGAGGTGTAGGTATGGGTTGGGTGTGGGGTGTAGGTGGGGGTTATAGGTGTTGGGCATGGGTGTGGGGTGTATTAGCTGTGGGTTGCAGTTATGGGTGTGGGTTGTAGGTAGAGGTGTGGGGCATAGGTCCAGGTGTGGGGTGTTGGCATGGGTGTGAGGCAGGGACAGGTTGGGGTGTGGGCTGGTGTGATTACAGTGAATCAAGACCACGGGGGTTGCTGGGGTTTCCCGGGTGGGGGTGCGTGGAGGCCCGAGAGCGTGTCCATGGCTGGAACAGGCTCCCTCACTGTTGGGTTGGGCAGTGACAGCCCTGAGGGCTTCGTACGGGACCCGAAAGGCAGGGATGCTCCCAAAGAGAAAGGGGGTCTCAGGGCAGGCGTTGCGTGTGGGCTCCCTGGCTGGTCGTGGACCCGGTCTGGCGGAGTGTGGGGTCCCCAGCCACCCCACAGCTGGAGATCCTGTGGGCAGTGCCTGGGTGCTGAGCTTGCGACCTGGAGATCTGTGGGAGGTACCTGGGTGCCAGGCCTGTACCCTCCTGAGCGTCACCACAGCCTCGTGGTGAGGTTCTCAATAGATCAGGACCCCACGTGGTGGCCTCCTGGCCCCTCTCATGAGGAGCTGGCTGTGTGTGGCCTTGGCCTGGCCTGAGAAGGCTGCTCACAGGGGCCCGGGCTTGGCGGGAGCCGTTGTCCCCGGTCCCAGGGGAGCAGGTTTTGCTGTTCAGCGCAGGCACATTGTTCAAAGTCTCAGCCCAGGGCCTGCCCCGTCGGTTGTGGGGACGTGGGAATCCTCCTCAAACCCGTTTCCAGATGCCAGCCGAGGCGGCCCTGCAGGCAGGCCTGTCTCAGGCCCTGAAGTCTGCCCTTCTCACACACGGGGAAGGCTCCAGAAACACCTGTGGAAGGGGGGGTCTGTGTGTGGAAGAAACACATTGGACATGCTTTTCCTGTTCTCACTCACGCCACCACAAGCGGCACACACTTTCGTGTGCAGGAGTGCGTGGGTTTCTCCCCAGCACCGAGCCGGCAGTCAGTCCTGCAGGAAGCACTGTGGGTACAGCAGCACCGCGGGTACGGGAGCACCGCGGGTACGGGGACACCGTGGGTACGGGGGCACTGCGGATGGGGAGCACTGCGGGTATGGCGGCACTGCGGGTACGGGAAGCACTGTGGGTACAGGGGCACTGTGGGTACGGGAGCGCCACGGGTACGGGAAGCACTGCGGGTACGGGAGCACTGCGGATGGGGAGCACTGCGGGTACGGAAGCACTGCAGGTACGGGAGCACTGCGGGTACGGGAAGCACTGTGGGTACGGGAGCGCCGCGGGTACGGGAAGCACTGTGGGTACAGGGGCACTGTGGGTACGGGAGCGCCGTGGGTACGGGAAGCACTGTGGGTACAGGGGCACTGTGGGTACGGGAAGCACTGCGGGTACGGCAGTACCCCATTCCTGGCTGGACGAGTCTGGGGTCTATTTGGGGGACGTTGCCTCTGCATGGCCTGAGGGAGGGTTCTCAGCTGAACGGGAAAGGAAACGACCACTCCAGGCCCAGCCTTTGTGCCACACGTCCTTCCTTCTGCTGCTCTGACGCCGCGTTTTGCCTTGGCCCTGGGTTTTAGCATCACCCGAGCATGAATTCTGGAGGCCCAGCAGCTGCCTTCCACAACCTGAGACGCCACGGGGTGTCGGCCCTCCATGTTCCACCTGGCGGCCTAGGGAAGGCAAGGCCAGCGGGGCTCGGGCCAGCGAGGTGGGGGCTGTTCCTGAGGTTCTCTCTGGGCAGGGCTGAGTCAGGAGCCGGCTATACCTGTGCGTCTGAAGCTGCATCTCCTTGGGCCTGTGGGCCCTGCCCACCTTCCTCCCTCGGCGCCGCGGACTGTGGGGCACAGGGTCCCACCTCTGCCCCCCTTGCTGTGTGGTCTCCTGGCTTCTCTGCATGGGGTCCGGGCCGCTGCTCTGTGGATCTTCAGCCCTCCCCAGCCTGGGCTCCACTTGCTCTCCAGACGTGGCTTGGGCAAGGGGGACGTCTCCCCTTCGCCACTTCCTGGGTGCTCCTGTGGTACCTGCCTGTTCCTCCTGGCCCACGGCAGCCTTGCTGGAGTGACCCCCACTTCCTGCTGTCACACCGCTCCCTGTCTGGAGGCAGGTCAGACACGTCTCAGGTTCCTGTGTGCTCCCACCTTCCTGATGGGGCATTGTGGTACTCCCAGCCCTGTCAGGATTTGTGATTGTTGAAGCCATTGTGGGTAGTGGTTTCTGAACGCAGGTTTGATAGATCATGTGTGCTTCCTGTATAATCTCCAGGTTCGTGTTTAAGATGACATATCTAAAATGTGCACACAAACGTACTTACAGATACGTAAAAAACCAAGACTTTGGGCTGGGCTTGGTGGCTCACGCCTGTAGTCCCAGCAGTTTGGGAGGCCAGGGCAGGTGGATCATGAGGTTAGTTCAAGACCAGCCTGGCCAAGATGGTGAAACCCCGTCTCTACTAAAAATGCAAAAATTAGCTAGGTGTAGTGGCAGGCACCTGTAATTCCAGCTACTTGGGAGGCTGAGGCAGGAGAATCACTTGAACCTGTGAGGTGGAGGTTGCAGTGAGCCAAGATCATGCCACTGCACTCCAGCCCGGGCGACAGAGTGAGACTCAGTCTAAAAAAAAACTCAAGACTTTGGTGGCGAATGGTGACATGAGCCTGAAATGTGACAGCCTGAAGGCTCCAGCTCCTTTTCTCTGGGGACCTGCTGGTGCCACTGCCCTGGGTGAGGGAGATGTGCTGCCTGGAGTCTGCCCTGGGACCCACAGCCTCAGCTCCACGTTAAACCGAAGGTCCCTAGGATGTTTGATAGGAAGCGACTCGAGAACTCCCAGGTCGATCTCACAGCAGCCCTGCTTCTGGAAAGTCCTGCGTCTCGTGTACATGCACACACGTGCACAGGCCGGCGTGCACCGCTGCCTCCATGCATGCACACACACAGCCGTGCACACACGGTTCTACCTTGGAGCAACTGCCGGATGCATTTTTGAACAGTGACTTCCCTTTAGAAAATACTACGTAGTTGTAGGTTCTGAACCAGTAACGAGATG